GAAAATAGCCTGGTGAGAGGCAGTAAGATGGTAGGGCTTTGGGGATGACAGTTTGAGAGCTCTTTGGAGATGGAACTGAGGGGCAGTGTCTTCTTGGAATGGCGGAAGCAACATAGGTACCCTGAGTAAGTTTAGGCTTGGATAATTTGAATAACTGGCAGGCTCCAGGCTATAGAAGTGGTCCCTAGTTGTCATTTACCTGGCCCTGAGATGCGTTAGGACAAGGAAATGTTGGCTTGGTATGTGAGAACTTGATAAAGGAGATGGTTAAAGATGTGGGTTCTGAATTGTTTGGTTTGTATTTCAAAGACCCACTTGAAGAGAGAGTTCTTTTCTACCTCTAGGAATTAGCTAGTTAGTTCTAGGAGGTCAAGTCTCTCCAGGATTAAGGCCTCAAATGCCAGATCATCAAGAATACAGAAACTGAGAATACTTAGTCACTGCAATGATACCGACAGACTTTCTGCAGGATAAGAGGGGAATGGCAGCATTTCTTTCCACCTAAATATTTCTATCTTTCTATTTGTACCTCTACCCATGTTGAATTCTTCTTTGTATATCTTCCAGGTTATAACATTTACATCTCTATTTTGTGACCATGATTTCTGCAGTTGCTTAGCCTTAGACTTAAATGTTAAAGGATTTTATGCTCATGCCTAGTCCCTCACTGTTTCCAAGCTTATTATTTTGATTTATGTCTTGTTTATCTGGACTTCATCTTCCAATACTTTCCTTGGAAGGGTTCAGAGGGGCTATGTCCCCCGAGTTCTGGTATGTTTAAAAATTTCATCTTATTCTTGAAGGACAACTTACATAGTTAGAAAGTTCTTGGCTGACTCTTTTCTTCAGGGCTGTCTACATGTTGCTCTACTAGATTGAGTGTCCGAGGGAAGACTGGGAACAGCTGATTTTTGGCACCCCTTACGCCTCACCCTCCCCTGTAGATCTCTGTCTTTTCTCTGAGAGGCTTGCTAGACAAGCATTTCTATATGTGTATATATTTTTTCCATGGTGTGTTCTGTCACCCTGTAGGTTCAACTTTTTCTTTAATGAGGAAATCTTTTCTTCTGTTATCTTTGAATATGTTTTGTGTTCCTTTTCTGTTTCCTTCACTACTCCAGAGGCAACATAATCTGGATTGGTCGTCAGTGTCTTAACGCCATTATTTCATCGCTAACTGTTTCAATCTTTCTCTCCCACTTTACATTACTTGCGATCTCTGTTTTCATTAAGTCAGTTTGAAGCTATGTCTGTTTTATTCCTCCATTTTACAACATATTGGTTATGTTTTCATTCTCCACTTTCTTGATTAGTTGTGTTATTCTGGTCTTCAATTTGTTTCTTTAAAGAGCAATCTTTTTCTTCCATCGTTATATGATCTTCTCATCCCAGCTCCGATTTCTTATTTTTATTTTTGGGGGGTTCTAATTTTTCCTAGAGGCAAAGCGTTTGTGGTGTATATTTTGCACAAAAATGTCCTTTTGCGTTTTCTGATGTGTTTCTTGCAGCTATGTTTCCGTCCTGACATCTGTCTCCTGCCTATTTCTCTTTTTCCTTCCTTGCTACCTTCCTTCCTCTTTTGACTGTAGTATTTTTGTATAGTTGCCATTCCATTTATTTTTATGGTATTTCCTTTTGATCTGGTTATTTCTACCTTGATGTTCTCTTGACCCAGATATGTGGCATCGGTTAATTTGTATTGATCCTCTGCTATCTTATCTGTGATTGCTGTGTCTTTCCTTCCGTGCTTTAGTTGAAGATTATGTATTTTGTGTCTGTTTCGGTATTGATAGGGCAGTGTGGAAAAGGGGAAGTTCAGAGACAGCCATGTGTTTGTAGAATTGGTTTCTGCTCTTTTTCTGTAACTTGGTTTGTAGCCTAAAACTTGAGTTTATTATCCCAAATTGAGGGCATATCTTATTCCTGTGGGTGGGTAGTAGTGGCTTTTATGTTGTTTCCCAGCTCAGGATAGAATTGTAGAGACAACCTGCCTGGGTGTTTATTTTCCAGACTTGATTCAATTCCTCACAGCAGCCATTCACTCTCCTACCAATAAAGGAAGGAAAAGCTAGATAATATCTCAGGGATTCAGCCACTGTATTTTAGAGTAGGGGGGCAGGCATGGTGGTGGCATCAGTGTCGGCTTTCCACGTTTGTGTCCTGACATTCACACCGTCAGAGGGGCTTGATTTCTTTACTTTGTTGTTGGTTTCCCTTTCTGGCAACCCCCTCCATATTATTCAATATAATTAACTCTAATAGAATACTACGTAATCTGCCTGGTGATTACATAGCGGCTCACACGTGTAATCCTAGCACTTGGGTATCCAAAACAGCAGGATTGCTGGAGGTCAGGTGTTTGAGACCAACCTGAGCAAGAGCAAGAACACATCTCTTCCAAAAGTAGAAAATATTAGCGGGGTGTTACAGTATGTGCCTGGATAGTAGGTTCCCACTACTTGGGAGGCTGTGGCAGGAGAACCGCTTAAGCCTAGGAGTTGGAAGTTATTGTGAGCTTTGATGACACCACTATACTCTACCTTGGAGCAACCTGTCTCTAAAAAAAAAATAAAATTGTGCAATCATTCTCCCTTTCCTTATCACCCCTCCTAAGCAAAATGGCCTAGGCAGTGTTTCCCTCTCTTTGAAGTGTTGGTATGGTGGAAGGGAGAACCTTCTACTCTAGGGAAACTGAATTTCCTCTACCAGCTGCCTACTCACCCCTCCATCCATTTCCCTTCCTATCTGCGCTGTTGCACTTTTTGTCAGAATTTTTCCTCTCACATCTTCCTGTCCATACTGATTCTTTGGGGGCAAGGAGTGAGGGAGGAAAAAAGGGTTATCAGGGAGGGAGCTCTACATGTATTTATAGTATTTCTTTCTTTGGTCATTATTTTTAAAGACTATTATCTTTTCCTTTATTGGGGAGGGGATGGTGTTTTTAATTGGCTAATTTTGTTGTTGTTGTTGTTACTTTGGTTGAATTTAAGAGAAGAGCCATTGGTTCTGGGATCCACTAATTCTGGTATCACTCTTTAGGCACCATTTTAACAAGGGCTAGAAGCTCTGCCTTGTTTGTTTGTTGGCTGAATCTAGGAGACTTTTCTAGGGAGAGACTACAGACGTGGATTTCACTTGGATTATTAGACTTTGTATGTTTTGGTCAATCATGTAGATTTCTCAGCAGCCTGTTCCTCATTTGGCTTTGGAAGGATGCGGGAGAGATACAAAAGGTAGAGGGAGACCAGAAGTACCACAGAGTTTACTGTGTCCGAGAGCAATAAATGCCAGGACAGAACCCAAGAGGTAGCTCAGAGAACTTCCTGTTCTCAATATCTAAAGAAGGATTGCTGACTTTCCCATCTCAGACAGCTGTCCCTCCAGCTTTTGCTTAGATATCTTGAGTACCAGGGGACTCATGAACACCATTTTGTTACTGGAGAGCTCAAAGTATATTTAAACATTTTATGTCGAGCCAGACAGCATCTCACCCTCTTGCTTCATGGTCGGTCTTGGTCACATGATCTCCAATCTTAGCTATTTTATTTTATTTTTTTCAGACAGAGTCTCACTTTGTCACCCTTGGTAGGATATCATGGCATCATAGCTCACAGCAACATCAGACTCTTGGGCTCAAGCAATTCTCTTGCCTCAGCCTTCCAAATAGCTGGGACTATAGGCGCCCACCACAACACCCAACTACTTTTAGAGACGGGGGTCTTGCTCTTGCTCAGGCTGGTCTCCAACCTATGAGCTCAGGCAATCCACTTGCTTTGGTCTCCCAGAGTTCTGGGAATACAGGCGTGAGCCCCTGTGCCCGGCAGTGTCTCATCTTAGATCTTTAGATGACTACCACAACTGCCCTCAGTCCTGACCTCTAGCCTAGACTATAATCCTGGAAAATTATTGAGCAAGTTGGAAAGCTACTAGGTCAAAAGGCTTGAGATGTAGTAAAACATACGGATAAGTACAAAGTGCCACATGAAAATGTCAAGAAACCATTGTACAGGATGAGGATACTTGATTTAGCGCAAGTAAAGAGTTTTGAGAGTTTTGCTTAATCCTAAATATACTCTGACGGAGCCCAGCATCAGGCAGAGCAAGTCCATGCTGCATGAAAAACAAACCTCAGTGTGAGGAACATCTGCCAGTGTCCTCCTATGTAGGAGCTTGTTAGAGGACATCTGGACAGCAACAAATCAGAATGTGTGCAGGCAGGGGATGATATCTAGAGGCCACGGGCCACAGTGGGCCACAGCGTGCTGCTGGCAACATGGGGCTAGAGTCTAGAAAAGTGAGGCTTTGGAGAGGTACAAGAGCCATCATCAAATGGGGAAGAGATGTGTGGAAAGAGAATACCTGGTTTGTTCTTTCTGCCTTCAGAGCCCAGACCCAGCATAGTTTTAAGGTGCGGGGGACTATTTATTGTCTCTGTTGCCTAGGAGGCATCTATATTTCCTGAGGTCTGTAAAAGATTTAATGACCTGAGCTTTATTCTGGAAAATCACTAATCTACAAGGTAAGGAACCAGAAGCTGATTTCTGAATAGGACACAGAAGATAGAACATTTGGATACATCAGGGGAAGAATAATTGGACAATAGGCCTCAGGAGAAGCCTATCAAACAGATTTTCCAAATATTATAGACAAACAGCCAACCAACTTCCAGCTACCAGCTTGATACCAGGGAGAGGAATAGGAAGACAGAATTTAGAGCAGGTAGACCTTGGTTTGAAGACTGGGTATGCCATCCGCTGGTTCTGTGATCTTGAGCAAGATATTTAACCTTGCTGAGTTTTGATTTACTCACGTGTAACATAAGATGATTCAGTTCTGGGTCACTGTGAGGATAAAATTAGATGACAATTATAAAGCCTTGGCTTTATAACTAGGTACTTAAACATGTTAAAAAACTCTTCCTTGCTTTCCAAAGCTAGTCTCTAATTGTACTACTGTGGTTTCAAAGAGACATTTTATAAGTAAGCACTGTTACTTTTCAGGGCTTCCTTCTGAACTCTCCCCAGCTATTGAGGAAGAAGAATCAAAGACTGGCCTAGATGTTATGCCTAATATTTCCGACGTGCTGCTGCGCAAACTACGGGTCCACAAGAGTCTCCCTGGAAGGTAAAATCAGAGTGTGGGTTGCTGAAGACGCTACTGTGTGGCTCTTCTGTTGGCTTCTAAGTGGGACACAGAGGAGCACTAGTCTTGATTCTTAACCCCGTAAGGGCCAAAGTTCAGTGTTCTAGGAAGGGATAATGCATCCGAAACAAAAAGAATCATGGAAGGGTATTTTCAACTCAAAGAGCAGGTTCATAGGTGGGAACAGCCTCTGAGGGCATGAGAGTCACCAGAAGCTTGTGGCAGCAGAGGATAGGCTATGGGCTTTGGGCCAGGAGACATGGGCTTCAGTCCCAGTTACCCCAGTTAGCTGTGACTGGGATCGGGTAGGTCTGATATCTGCATAAAGATGTGGGACATTTGGAACCCTGTGATGAAGGAGCAGTTTGGAGCATAAAATGAGAAGAGAGGGGACTCCTGAGCAATAAACAGGGTAGGTGGGTGCCTTCAGGTGAGGTCTCCAGCCAAGCCCACCAACCTGGAGACTAAACGGTTAGGGAGGAGGTAGGGCATTGGGGAGCAACCAGGCATAACAAAGCTCCCAGATTTAGGGGTACGTGTGAAAGAACAAGTTTTGCCCAGTAGCTGTGACATGTGCAAATACCTTATGGTAATTACCTAAAAGTATTGGCACTACTCAGAGGGACTTAGTGCCTAGGCCAATGTCAGGAAAAGGGCTAAAAACAAGTGAGAAGCAGGCCGCATCCACGGTTTGCCTGGTGGAAGGCAGTGAAGGGGCATGCAGGCAGGAATCCAAGGAGAAGCACCCTCAGCATGTTTGCATGCTGTGTCTCTTTCTGTGTTTGTGACAACTCAGGAGAAAAGATTTTGCTTTGTCTGTCTCAAAGTGACACACTGGCAAGTGACAGAGTAAGGGATCGAACCCAGGTGGGCTGATTCCTGACCATTGGGCCTGTCAAAAGTACCAAAACAGACATTGGTGCTCTTCCGACTGCCAGAAGCAGGGCTGGTCAGGAGAGCAGTTGGCTTATTTCTCATCAGTAAAGTTGAGAATAATTGGTTTGATTATGGAATGCCCCAAGCTCCCCAAGAAGAAGGCCAGTGAGCAGGTCGATGTAGCTTCCCTGAGTAAGTAAATAGCTACCAGCTACAAACCACATGCCCAGGCTGAGCCTGCAAAGACTTCATAGTCCATGAATGTGACCAGCTTCTGAAGTGTGTGGTCTGGGCTCTTAGACTGAGATCAATGTAGCCATCATGCATTGTTTAAACAGCCTCATTGTCTATCTCCAGCCTCCCTGCCCCAGCCACAAAGCCACTTCCCCCTCTCCTAGTGTCAGAAGAGGCTCTTTCCAGCTGGGCCCTTGTTCAGAGCTTGGGATAGATAGGCACAACTGTTGTGTAAGATTTGTCATCCAACAAAAGGAACCAGAGCTTCGGGATTCTTCCCCCAGCAGAAATATGGGAAGATTATACTTGAGTTTTCATATGAGGAAGAATCTGGTTTCATGTCTTGTGTGGACTGTGGGAATTGGGATTGGACCACATCAAGGGGAGGTGAGGCCATAAGGTCAGTAATCTGAACAGGTTCAGTAGAAAGAGTAGGTCTAAAACTCAAATTAGGAACATGGCCTGGGTTGGTTAACAAGAGTCCAAAGTGGAAATGCCACTGGGTGAGGTAGCCTAGGTCAAACACTAACAGGAACCATAAGCAGGCATGTAATCAACGTGTGTCCATTGAGTGTCTGTTCCGTGCTAGACATTAGAATGACCAAGCACAGTCCCTGCTCTCATACATTCACATTCTAGGTGGGGAGACAAATAACATTATTTAAGTAACTGAATGAATGATTTGAAATAAAGTTGCTGAAAAGACCATAAAATGGGGCCCATAGAGTAACATGAGAGTGAAACATTGGGTCGGGGGGCAGTCAAGGAAGGGCTCTGTGATTGAGGTAATAACTCATTTGAGACAAAAGCCATCCATGCAAAGATCTTGGTGAAGAAATTTCCAGATTTCCAGAGAGAAGAATAGCGATTTCCACAAATGGTGAAACTATACAGCCACATACAGAAGAGTCGAGTTGGAACCCTGTTTCACACAATGTGCACAAATTAGCTCAAAGTGGATCAGAGTCCTAAATCTAGGAGAAAATGGTATGAAACTCTTAGAAGAAAAAAATACAAAGAGATCTTGGGTTAGTTCATTTTTTTTTTTTAAATATCCCTAAGAAACAAGGGACAAGATAAAAAATGAATGATACTTCCTCAAAATTAAAAAAATGTTCATGCTGCCATCCAAAAAAAAAAAAAAAAGTGAAAGGCAACTTACAGAATGGGAGAAAATATTTGCAAAACATTTGTCTGAAAAGGGACTTATAACTCAAAAAGATGAGTAACCAATTTTTCAAAACGAGCAAGAGATTGAAATAGACATGTCTTCAAAAAAGATACATAAGGTGTCACATGAACAGATGCTGTTCTTTTGAAAGCCCCGGGCTCCTAGCTGCCTATGCTGGTTTATAAGGCATAGCTTTCTGTGCCAGGAACTAACCGTATCATGTGGCTTCTCTCTGAGTCCTCAGAGTTTTCAATATATATTTTTAAAGGTGGGTGTGCAAAAAATCAGAATGTCAGTCACTGAGATAGAAAAACAAGTTTGGTTAATAATTTATGAAAATCTGTAAATTTCACATAATAGCCAAACCCAGGAGTCAGAGGCAAACTCAGTGTGTGCTGTATATGCCAGTTGAGTTTATGTTGGCCTCAGAGGACAGAGCCTGTGAGTGGGTGGGTGTGGTTGGGACAAGAATCATAAGCAAAAAACATCTCTGCCGCTGTTTATCCCATGTTCTGTGCTCTGCTGACTTGATGGCCATGGGGTCTTGTTGCCTCATCCTGACAGGAAGGCTCCCACAGCCCCTCCCCAGGGGTGAGAACCAGCCCCTTGCAGAGAAGGCTGACCCCTACCTTTGCTCTCGGGGTCCCTCTGCACCCATCAAAGGAAGGAAGCTATGTTTCCTGAAAAGCTGATCGATGTTATGCTCTGTTGCCAAGTCCTGTGATGCCGGCAGGACCCCTCCCGGCCTCCCCACCCCAGCACAGGAAAGGGCCTGTGCATTATTTATGTTGTCTGGGTTTCGCACAGGGCGGCTTTAGCTACCAGGGAGAGTGGGCGTGCCGATGGAGGAACTGCTTACTGTCAGGGAGTCCCAGCTGTGGGGACTGCACGCAACCAGGAGCCTCTCACCAGGACACCTCCGTGGCCCCTGAGACGTTCTTGCCTGCTTTCTGATTCCAGGCATCAGAGATCTTGCTTGTGGGGGAGAGCTCTGGCCACTCTCCCCTACCATTTATTTTCTGGTCCACTTGCATCTTCATCGCAGCCTTCAGAGACAGGAGGAGGGTCCAGAAAAACTACAGTAGCAACTCAGACATGGACAGTTTAGAAAGTACTTATCACAGGTGTTTTCTTATTCCTCACAGCAAGCCCGTGAGTTAATGGCAATAGCTAACATTTCCTGAGTGCCTACTGAGTGTGGGTTCCATGTACTTGTGCACATACACACATAGATATACACATGTATGTATGTTTCTTATAAGACTTCCAAGGTGTAACAGATGACGATGGTCCCATTTTACAGATGGGCAAGCGGGGGCTTGAGAGAGTAGATAATTTGTCCAAAGTTGCGGACAGTATTGTCCAGAGTTGCAGTATAATATTGGCACTGTAAGAGTCAATGTCTCACAGATGACAGAATACACAGAAAGGGGACACTGCATCTTTTCTGACCATCTCTTACACCATTCCTGGAAACACGTGGTCTGCTGGTCATTCAAAATCACCTTCTGGTTTATTTAATAGGTTGAATAAAGTTCAGTGGTGTGTTTTTTCTCTTTCACAGTGCTCCTCCACTCACCGAAAAGGAAGTTGAGGTAAGTGACTCAAGTGCTTTCTGAAATTTAGTGCCTGTACTTGACTGAGCTTATGCAAAACATTCCTTCCTCCCGCCTCTAACCCTGACATTTTTACACAAAAACAAGAAAGAAGGACTGTGGTATAATGTGGACGTTTGTGACCAGCCCCTATAAACTGCTGAGATCCCTACTCTCACCTCAGTTAGTGGAAGATTTTGACAAATTTGGTCAGAGGAGAGAAGGTAGTTGGAAGTTTCATGTTCCTTCAAGGATTGTTAATGTTCTTCAAATGTACAACTTAGATACACAAAGTCAGCTGGAGTCTGGAACTGCATCCGATTTTTTTCAATATTATTGAAAGATTTCAAATTTTAAACTTTAGGTTAGAAAGTGGCTTGACTTGCCTTCTGAGGGTGTCAGTGACAAGACAAGCCAGCTCAGCCGAGGCAAGAGGCTGCTGTCAGCACCCCGCTTTCCCGGATTTACCCATGACTCCCCTTGGGGCCTCCTTGTCCCAGTGGACTTATGAGTAAGCTGAGAGGAATTTGGTATCACTCTGGTGAAGGGGTGGGACAGAAAGAGTTTATCAGAGTTGAGACATTAGAACTGATGTGGACCCAGTGAGCAGAGGAAGACAGACCGTATGAAGGACCCACCACCAATAGTAACAGTCACCTTGTACATGGGCGCCGTGCTTGCCACTCATAACACTCCTAGCCATCCTTTCTGCTCATCCTCCCAGCAGCTCTGAGAAACAGATGACGCAGGAATTAGAACAGGGGAGACTACTGATTAAATAACTTACCCAGACCCAGTTCTTAACAAAACCAAGATTTGGATCTGAGTGTTCCCATTGAATTCAGGACTCTTTATGTAATGCTGCCCTAAGGGGATGACCCAGGGATAGAGAAATAAGCGCTGAGCATTATTCCTAGAGTTGACCAAGGCCTGGGTAGAACAGAAAATCCCCATCACTGGACTGTGAACTCAAAGCTCTTCCACTGATGATTGTGAAGAGATGGGCTGTGGGCAGACCCTGTCCTCAGAGGCCCACAGACGTAATCAGCTTGCATCAGGTGGAAGTCAAATAGGCTTTGGAATCAGTCCAAGGTTAACTCCTATGTCACCTTGAACTTAACCTCTCTGGTCTTGGTCTCTTTACCCATCACATGGATGTAACACTTCCTGCCCAGAGGGTTGTTGCATAAAACTCATGGCAGTGCTGGTATACACTAGGTGTTCAATAAGGAGTAGTTTTCAATATTGCCATCATCATTGGACCAGTTCAGTTCTCTGGAGATGTCTGTCCTCCATGGGGAATTTTATAGGAACTTCAGAAACTCAAGCAGAGTCGGTGACCACAGTGTAAAAATCCACTACAGTCTGACTCAGGTAGGGCAGATGAAGGCTGTAACGTTGGAGACCATTGTTTCCTTCCTGTGGGAAGTCCACCTGTCTATTTCTCCTCTCCAGTAATTTCCTATTATCCCAGGAATTCCATGTCCGATCAATAACATCTTTTAAAAATTTGTTCATGCAGGCTGCATGTTTGGCATGAATTATTTATTCCAGAAAGCTTATCCTAACAGAATTGTACCTAGCCTTATTTAATCTCCTTAAAGCTGCTATTGATGTAGGCTTTGGAATGCTCAGGCTAGATGCTGGTTGAAATTTGCTTTATGTCAACAACGCTTAATCTCAAATGGGGTTTCTTTAAATACAGTGTTTTTATGCAAAATCTCCAAAACCCTTCAAGTAATAAATCCAAACTGCTTACACGATCAGCTGTACTGGCCGGAGTTTACCTAAACCCAAATACAGGATGTTATTTTCTTAAAGTTCAGGGGAGAGTGAAGTGTTATTCTCTTAATATTTTTCAGTAAAATACATCTGGTCTTCCTGGTCCTGGGGAGGACCTAGCATGGACCTCAGGTTACCGTTTTACCATCACTTGTGTGGCTTATTGTGAAATACGAGGACTTTGGCAACCGGCCCCAGAGGCTGTTGCAAAATGCTTCTGTAAGAAGTACACCTGCAGCCTTGTTCCCTGCAATAACTCCTTCTAGCACCTCTCCCACACTCTTGTTCCCAACAGAACGTGTTTGTACAACTATCCTTGGCCTTTAGAAATGACAGCTACACCCTGGAGTCTAGAATTAACCAGGCTGAAAGGGAACGCAACATGACAGAGGAGAACACGGAGAAGGAACTGGAAAACTTCAAAGCTTCCATTACGGTAATCATGGAGCCTGATGTGAAGAATCCTTGGAGGACAGACTGTCTCCAAGGGCGATGTTGGCTGTCCTGCTTCTCTGTCAGGCACCAAGTAGGGTCTCCCGAAATTAAACATTGAGCCAAGACTGAAGAGTCTTCTTTAGCTGGGAGGAACTGAGGCAGAGATCCTGAAGGCCTGGTTACTACAGGCTGTGGGCGAGACCTCTGAGCCCTTGGGAGCACCTGAGGAAGGGACTGGGTGGCCTGGATGTGACTTCTTTCAGGTCAGCCAGGTGTAGCGTGTTCATACTGGGCTTGTCCTATCCCCAGCAGAAGGTGTGGGCCCTGCAGAGGCCACTTCTCTTGGCCAGGATGGGGCCCAGAGGTTCTCTCATGAGAAGCAGGTCCTGCCTTGGCATGTGTCTTAGCCTGGACTACTGTAACAAAGCACCATAGACTGAGTGACTTAAACAACAAGGATTTATTTCTCACTGTTCTGGAAGTCCAAGACCAAGGTGCCAGATGGTTGGGTTCTGGTAAGGGCCCTCTTCAGGCTGCAGACTGCTATCTTTCCATTATATCTTGACATGGTGGCTGAAGGGCAACAGAATTTGCTGGGTCCCTTTCATAAGGGCACTAATCCCATTCATGAGGGCTCCACCCTTGTGACCTGATCACCTCCTAAAGGCCCAAGTATTCCAGTACGTGATTTTGGGGAGATACAAACATTCAGTCTGTCACATGATTTGATGACCCCAGATGATGCTCCTTCTCACTCCCCAGTCCTCAGCTTCACTCTGGCATCACTGTGAGCACCGGGAGACCTACCAGAAGCTGCTGGAGGATATCGCTGTCCTTCACCGCCTGGCTGCCCGCCTTTCCAGCCGTGCTGAGATGGTGGGGGCCGTCCGCCAGGTGAGCCTCACCAGTCCCCCAGCCTTGCCAACTGGCTCTGCTCTCCTGAGTTAAGTAGAACAATAACTTGAGCAGCAACAACTGCACGTACCACTTAGTGATGGCTTCCTCTGGGCCAGCATCCTGTGTAAAGGCCGGGGCAGTATTCAGAGAACGAGAGGCAGAACACTAAAGGTTCTCACTAAACCTCAAGGTTTAGCGCTTCCTGGGAAAAAGCTTCTGTGACAATATGTGTTTGGGGACCACAGCTTCCTCTCTGGCTCCCCTGGACTTGTTCAGGCTCTTGTCTTTCCCTTCTGCTCTCCCTCCTGCCAGTCCCACTCCCTTCAGTCCCATATCCTCTTGAGTCCTGACTATGTTACTTCCTTACTTTAAGATGTCTCCCTTATTCCTTTCTTGGAGATTTCTAATGTACATTGACATAGCCAAGGCTTTGAGAAGTCCTGTGCTGAAGAATACTATTTAACTTTACCTAAGTATTTTCCAAATGTGTTTGGCTGAAGAATTCCCCCTATTTCCCCCCACCAAATATCTAGTCAGCTCCCATAGAAATAGTATTTGGCAAAATGTGCTTTACGAAAAACTACTCTGTTTCATTTAATCCAGCTAGCAACCCTGTAAAGTTAATATCCTCTTCCCCAGATGAAGACTCAGAGTCTTAGAAAAGAAATACACTGTGAATAGCAGAGCTGGCATGCAGGCCCAGGCCTGGCATGTCCTGGGCCACTTTGAAGTCCTCAAGCTCACAGAGCACTGCCGTGGTCCGGCAGGGTGTGATGAGATCACACTGCCTGGGTTCTAATCCCAGCTCCACCCTGCGTTTGCTGTGTGACCCGGGGCTGGGTACTGAGCTTTGTACGCTTCAGCTTCTTCAACCATAACGTGAGGATGATCATGGCGTCTGCTGTGTAGGGCTGTGCACATTGTTGTCACTGCTCTGTTACCACGGATGCTCTGCACTGGCTGCGGGGGAGGGTGTTCCTGGGGCACAGCCCTGACATGTTCCTGTGAAATGAAAGAAGTCCAGCCGCTGGGCTGTCCCACCCTGTGCCCTTGAGGGGAAGGACACCTGACTCAGCAGTGTCACCCAGGAAGTCACTCCAGCTGGGAGCGGAGAGTGGCTGATCTCAGCCCCACACGGCTGTGGGGACCTTTTCCAGGGAAGTCACTGGACGTGTTCTTCTGTGGCCAGGCAGGGCCTGAGCCAGGCCCTCTGAGGAATACAAGGCGGTACAAGCAAAGTCGTTCTTATAGATAGCTTTCCCAAACATGCGTCTCAGCCCGTGGGCTGCTCACTCCATCTTCACCCTTACCAAAATGGCTCCCTCACCCAGGCCTCGGAGTCTCAGGCTTCTGTGTCTCAGGCCTCAGCTTCCTCTCTGGCTCCCCTGGACTGATTCAAGCTCTTGTCTCTCCCTTCTGCTCTCCCTACTGCTAGTCCCACTCCCTTCAGTCCCATCTCCTCTTGTGTCCTGACTATGTTACTCCCTTACTTTAAGACATCCAATGGTTCCCCTTTTTCTCAAGATAAGCTCATATTCCCTTGTCTAGCATTTGAGGTCCTGCACAGACCAGTCCTCACTTACTTTTTCTTCTATGAATAAATCAATCTGATTGCTGATTTCTATATAAGTAGGGTGATCTGAATAGTCTGGGTTTGCCAGATGGCCCTGATTTGTATCTATTGTCCCAGAATAATGGAATAGCATCCCTTTCACTCTCCAGAGGACGCCAGTCTGAAATCCTCACCCCGTAGAAGCCCTGTACTTTTCTGCCTCTGGATTCCTCCCGAAGCTGCCTGGCCTGAATGCTCTTTGTCTCTCCTGCCTGTGTCTGGATGCTGCCCGACCCTGCGTCTATTTCATTTCAGCTCCATGAAGCCTTGCTGGACCCATCCTCCTCTCACCTCCTCAGCCCTGTGGCTGTTGTTTCCTCATTTTCCCTGAACACAGGTGGCTGAGCCAAGTGCCTAGTGTACTCACACTTTCCTTCCCTGCAGGAAAAGCGCATGTCAAAAGCCACAGAGGTGATGATGCAGTACGTGGAGAACCTGAAGAGGACATATGAGAAGGACCACGCGGAGCTCATGGAGTTTAAAAAGCTTGCAAATCAGAACTCAAGCCGCACCTGTGGCCCCTCTGGTAAGGACCTAGGTCTACACCCCATCTTGGCCCTGCAATACAGACCCAAATAGCTCTTGGCTAGGGTCAACACTATCAGGGCAGCCCCACACCTTGTTTTGAGTCGAGCAAGGTTCCCTATCCCTGTCCAGTGCAGCAGCTGCTCCTGCAGGCCTGGCTGTCAAAAACTAGAAAACATGGCTCAGCACCTGTAGCTCAGCAGCTAGGGCACCGGCCACATACACTGGGGATGGCAGGTTCGAACCCAGCCCAGGCCTGCCAGACAACAATAACAACTATAACAAAAAAATAGTTAGACATTGTGTTAGGCGCCTGTAGTCTCAGCTACTGGGGAAGCTGAGGCAAGAGAATTGCTTAAGCCCAAGAGTTTGAGATTGCTGTGAGCTGTGCTGCCATGGCACTCTACTGAGGGCTACACAGTGATACTCTGTCACAACAAACAAACAAACAAAAGCTAGAAAACATAAGCAACTCCAAACATAAGCAACTCACGTCACAATGAACCAGAGTGACTAAGCATAGACACAAAGCCCACAGGCTGCAAGGTCTCATTCTACTTTGTAAGAGTGACCCCGTACCCTGTTAGTCTTGGTGGATTAGAACCCCCTTTTAGGGTGCACATTCTCAGAAAGCCCAAATTTAGGGATCCAACCAAGGATTTATTTTTATTTATTTTTTTCTGGGACAGCGTCTCACTTTGTCACCCTTGGTAGAGTGCTTTGGTGTCACAGATCACAGCAACCTCAAACTCTTGGACTTAAGCAGTTCTCTTGCCTCAGCCTCCCAAGTAGCTGGAATTACAGGTGCCCGCCGTGCCGTGCGGCTGTTTTTAGAGACAATGTCTCACTCTGGCTGAGGCTCAGGCTGGTCTCAAACCTGTGGGCTCAGGCATTCTACCCTCCTCTGCCTCCCAGAGTGCTAGGATTACATGCATTGAGCCAACGCCTGGCCCCAACCAAGGATTTAAATCAAGAAACTGACATAATCATGTTTGTAGTTTAAGGAGGCTCTTGCTAATCATGGTGTGGCAATTACAGTACCCGGCAACTAGAGAGAGGGAACCCCATGAATCTGGAAAGGGGGTTGCAGTGGGAGTCTGGCTGAAGGAGAAGTTATTGAGATAGACTCTCACGTAAGACAGATGTTTTTAAAAAATACGCTTTTTTATATGTCCTATGCAAATCGCTATAGGAGCACAGAGGAGGGACCACCTGATTCTGCTGGAGGGGGTTGAGGAAGGCTTCACAGAGGGATGGTCTCGGTCAGTGTTTTAAAGTAAAAGTAGGAGTTTCCTAGCCAAGAGGGGGACATCTATCCTGTGTAGAGGAAACAGCAGAGACAAAGGTGTGGATGTTGGGGCTGAGAAGAAAATGAAACCAATAGTTTGTGGTTGCAGAATGTGGCAGTGACAGGCTGAAGGTGAGATTTGTGGGTCACATCGCAACCCTCCAGGCAATGAGGAGTTGTTAGAAAGTTTACTATGCATGACACCATCAGATTTTATTTTTAGATTCCTCCGACTTCAGTGGATGATGTATTAGAGGTGCACAAAAGTCAAAGTAAAGGGAAATGAGTTAGGAGGCTCTTGCTCAGTGCAGGAGGGAGATGATGGTACCTTGGACCACATCTCTCCTTGAAAACTGCTAGGGTTTGGCCTCTGGTGGATGAGGGTGGCTAGGAGAAAACAGACATTTTAGCGACAGGAATCCCTGTGGAATGCAAACATCCGTGTTACCAAGAGCAGGAGGAGAGAAAGTATAACAGATGGGAAACCTTTATAAACAGGAGGTTTCACAAGTTTCCTGGGGAATATCAGTGACACTTCCCAGAGTCCAAAGGCAGTGTACACATGCTCCAGACTGTCCGCCTTGGATCTCGGCAGCAAGGATCCTGACCCACACAGGCGTCTGGCCCTCTGACAAGCCGTTCTCCAGCAGTGTTGGAAGTTGGAGATGTTGCCGCCAAAGAAATCCTAACGCACGGACTCTCATATTACTTCCCTCCAAAGCTCAAGGTTTCCTTCGAACCACTTTACCCAAGATTTATGGGATGAGCAGTTACCCACGAGTCTCATTCATTCGTTCTGCAGACATGTATTGAGTACCTTTGGGGTACGCCGTATGGTTCTGGAATACCCCTAAAGGAAAGGACACAAAGGCGCTCTCAATTTGGGGGGTGGTTGGAGCAGAGCAGCCAATGCTATGAGAGAAGAAAGCAGGCTTTCAAGGGGAACAGAGTCCCGTGTTCATTCTGGAGGGTGAGAAAATACAATAGGAGAGGTCTTTGAATAACAAATAAATGTTTTTTGGATATTTGTTTCCACTCCAGTCATTTTTCCAAGATACACTTCAGCTTGGGCTGGTACAGGGGGATCAGCACCTACCCAGCAGGTGTGTCTATGAGATGCTCTATGATGATTCTCTAATAGTGTTGGTGTCCGACGCCTTTACGTGACTTCTGGAAATCTTTGTCTATGAGGAATATGTCTACAGACATATGGAAATCTAGTCCTGAGACGTTGAAGATTATAGTGAAATAAAATATCCCTGATTTCAAAATTGGTAATCCACATGAAAGAAATCCATTTTTTTTCTGAATATGAAACATACCATTGCCTGCATTTTAAATTATTTCCTTAAGATATATTTCTAGAAGTACACATACTAGTTTAGGTGAAAGAAATATTCATAAGGCCCTAAAATTATTTTCAAATACCTCATTGATGTGTCCATTTAATGGGTTATAATAACGTCCAGCTCATTGTGCCATCGACATCATTCTTGTTCATTCTTTTAAAAAATACATATGCCTTTGGTAAGCCAAAATTATGTTGTATTTCATGCTTTTAATTCATATATTTTGGCCTTTCAAAGTGCTTATTAAGAATTTGTTATTTCCACTTTTGCAAAATTTCTAATTATGACCTTTAATGGTCCACTTGCAAGGTTGAGACCTGCATTTTATTTATATGAATTCTTTATATATAAAGAATCTTTTCTGGTTCTGGTATTTGGGATGACTGGAAAATTTGAAAATTCTTTGACCACAAATACTTAGGAATTTCTGCTGGGTAAAAAAAAAAAAACAAACATAAATCTGAAAGAATAGCTGAGTTTACAAGAAAAGAAAATTGAAATACCCAGATACAAGAAAAGAAAAGAGAACTGAAACCCAGCTGACCCTGCAGCTTCGTTGGGGACAAGTGTTAGCCTCGGTTATCTGGGTGCTAATCTTCTGCACTCACACGTGATCTCAGATAAGGCCTTGAACACCCACGGCAGAGAACTGACACTGAGATTCCCACAAAAGGTTCAGACTTTCAGAGAATTGTACCTTTGGATAGAATTTGGGCGAGGAAAAAAATAGTCACCAGCCAGCAGAGAAGCAAAAAAGTAAGTTGGTCTGTTTCACCCTAGGCTCTAGGAGGAAAAAAAAAACTTTTTCCTTCCTCATAGGAAAAGTACATGCCTAAAGTGACAGTAATGATGATGCAATTTGCGGAAAATCTGACAAGAACAGTAACATAGCATCTCAAGGAATACTGTCGGAAACAGACACTCTGGAGAGAGACACACCCTGCACCCAGGGCAGGCAGGACTTCTCTAATCAAGCCTCTCTGAAGATGAGTTCACAAGATATAAAATCATAAAATATACAAGAAAACAATTCTGCATGAACAAAAAAAATCATCAAATACAAGAGGATTATATCCGAAAACTTCAGAAAATAAAATCTAATAATGTTTTTAAAGCTGTAGAGGCATAAAAGGATGGATCAAAAACATAAGAGTGAAAGAATACAGTTATCAACAAAAGAATAAAATGGAACTCCTTGAAGTAAGGAATAGAGTGATAGAAATTAAGGACTTAGGCTTGGCACCTGTAGCTCAAGCAGCTAAGGCACCAGCCACATACACATAGAGCTGGTGGGTTCGAATCCAGCCTGGGCCTGCCAAACAACAATGACAACTACAACCAAAAAAGAAAACAAAATAGCTGGGTGTTGTGGTGGGCGCCTGTAGTCCCAGCTACTTGGGAGGCCTAGGCAAGAGAATCACTTAATCCCAGGAGTTGAAGGTTGCTGTGAGCTATGACACCAGGGCACTCTACCCAGGGTGACAGCTTGAGGCTGTGTTTCAAAAAAAAAAAAAAATTTAAGAAGTTAGTAGTTAAGGTGTGGTGGTTACTATGGTTGAAGCTATCCCTCAGTATTCCAGATCTCCTTCTGGTCACATTTCCCCATCCTTTTGAAGTCACAAGGCAAGGTTATGAGACTTGCTTTGGTGAATGACATGTGAATGGAAGGACATGGGTTACATGTGAGCTGAGGCCTTTAAGAACTTATGTGTAATTTGTCCTATTTCTTCCTCCTAATATGACAATCACCACTGCTCCAAAATACTACACGTTCCATTAACCTGAGTCCTAAGTGAGGAAATGCAAAGCAGAGCCTATTGCCAAGTAAATGGAAGCCCCAACTTCAGCAAAGAAGCAAACAATGTGTCCATGTAATGAAAACCACTTATACCCCTCAAATAAAAGGAAGTAAATGGACGTGTAATAGAAGCAAGAAATCTTTGTTGATATAAGCCACCATATTTTAGGGTCATTATTGTAGCATAACCTAGATTATCCTAATTGATGCAACATTTAAACCAGATTAGGCACAGTTGGAAAAGTTAACTGGAAGATTTGAGGAAGTTACCCAAAATATAGTTCAGAAGGATAATTTGATTAAAATATGAAAAAGGCATTATGAGAGAGGGGATATAGAGTATAGAATGAGAAATTCCCAAATATATTTATGGGTATTAGGTGGTCCTTGAGGCTGAGGAAAGAAAATGTACGAAGAAAGAATGGCTGAGGATTTTTCAGAACTCAAGACATTCCTGAATGATTGGATTTAGAACAGTGGTTCTCAACCTGTAGGTCACAACCCACAGGAACTGTATTAAAGGGTCGGGACATTAGGAAGGTTGAGAACCACTGATTTAGAAAGTATAATGAATTCTAAGTAGGAGTAATAAAAACACATCCCTGAGAAACGGCAGAACAGCAAAGACAAAATGAAGATCTTAAAAGTAACTAGAGAGAGAAGATTATTAGCAAAAGAATGACAATTCTCAATAATAGTACCAGAAGACAACTGAGTTACCTCTTCAAAGAGCTGGGAGAAAATAACTGACAATCCAGAGATAATACAAAGAGCTAGGCCACCATGCAAGATTGAGGATTGGGTAAAGACATTTGGAGGCAACAACTGAGAAAGTTTAGCTCCCAGAGACCCTTACTGAAAAAACGTTCTAAGGATGTATCTATGGAAGTAGGAAACTGAGCTCAAAAGAAAGAAGTAGGATGCAAGAAGGAATGATGATCAAAGACATCTGTAAATATGTGGATAAATCTAAGTAATCATTCTCTATAGAAAGCAGCAACCATAATGAATAGTTTATGAATACAAAACAACAAGGTAATTAAGATGGGGGGTTATGGTTTTATGGTTTATTTTGGAAAAGAATAGAGATCTTGATTAAATTTAAAGTCAGTATGTAAAGGAGATACATTAAAAATTAGAAATTGAGACTCGGCGCTCATAGCACAGTGGTTACAGCACCAGCCACATACACCTACACTGAGGCTGCTGGGTTTGAACCCAGCCTAGGCCTGCTAAAAACAATGGCAACTGTAACAAGAAATAGCTGAGTGTTGTGGCGGGCACCTGTATTCCCAGCTACTTGGGAGGCTGAGGCAAGAGAATGGCTTAAGCCCAAGAGTTTGCTGTGAGTTTGCTGTGAGTTTGCTGTGAGTTTGCTGTGATGTCATGGCACTCTACTGAGGGCGACATAGTGGGACTCTGTCTCAAAAATAAATAATAAAGAAATAAAAATTAGAATATATAATTCTCTAACCAATGTGCAAGGTGGGAGAAGGAGTAGAAAAAAAAAACATTGAGTAAAGTCAAGTGAGTAGAAAGTATAAACAAGATGGTGGAAAAATACAAGTATATTAGAAATCACTTATTTCATAAATAACTGGTTAATAGAGAATCTGAGATTAGATTATGAGAAAAAGGACAGCTATGTGCTTCTCAAGAGACCCACGAGAAATATACAGATATGAAGGAGAGACAGATATCACAGGCTAGATAATATTGGCCAAACTGAACTGAGCTTACAAATATATTCCTCTGCAGGTACTCAGATGTTTCCTGGTGGCACCATTATCCAGGTGTGATGCTAAACATTACATGAATTAAATCACTTAATGCTTGTAGTAAAAACAACAAATTCCTGGGGTGTTAGCTTCCCTCATTCTGAATCATTTTATAGGTGCCATATTGAGCCTGCTTCTGTCAGTAAGTGTTCTTTCTTTACCAGCAGCATGCCCTCCTTGCTCATAGTTTCTCTGACTCTTCATCCTTGACTGAGCATGAAATGACCTAATCAGCCTTGGTATTGCTATGAATTTTCATACACTACCCAGGGCATTACCCAGAAATCGTGTAGCGATGTCAGGTGAAGATCAGAGGTCCAAGCCTACAGTGCCCAGTAGAGTTAGAATAAAAGTTTTGTCCAAGAGAGCCTCCACTCTGCACACGACTGCCTCAGAGGGTGAAGTGCCAATCTCAATGTCCCCATCACCCAGCCTGTGGGCCAGTTCTGGCCCATAGATATCTTGGCTTAGTTTCTGTCTGCCTATGTCCTGCCAAAGCCTAGTCTGAAACTTAACTGAGTTCTTTTCTCTGTTCCCTCCTACTGCAGAAGACGGGGTCCCTCGCACGGCACGATCCATGTCCCTCACGCTGGGAAAGGTATGCACGCTCAAGGACTACCAGGGCTCCCAGAAGAGTAGGACAGAATTTTCCATGGTCGTCCAAGCAGTTCTTCATTCTTGGATCCATGCGTGCCCAGACTGTCTCACCGGGGGTTTCCCTTCAGTGTCCCACACTCACTACCTCAGCCTCTGACATCTTACTTTTCTTGCACGGTTTCCCTGGCTATACATTTCTTAAACGAATGTGAAATGATCTTAAGCTATAGGCAGGTGTTTTTTTTTGTTTGTTTTGTTTTGTTTTTGAGACAGAGTGTCACTCTGTGCCCTGGGTAGAGTGCTGTGGTGTCCCTGGAGCTCACAGCAACCTCAAAGTCTTGTGCTCAAGCTATCCTCTTGCCTCAGCCTCCTGAGTAGCTGGGATTACAGGCACTCACTACAATACCCAGGTAGTTTTTCAACTTTGAGTAGAGATGATGTCTTGCTCTTGCTCAAGCTGATCTCAAACTCCTGAGGTCGAGCAAACCACCTGCCTCAGCTTCCCAGAGTGCTAGGATTATGGGCATGAGCCGCCATGCCCAGCCTATGGGCAGTTTTTATACACTAAGGTATTACCCCGAGATGGGAGGGGGGAGTCATTTCCATCCTGTATCCCCAGGATCCCTTAATCTAAAATAGGAACATTTTGAAAGGTCATTCAGCACCAACAGAAAATTTGAGTCAACTTCGGCCACTCCCTCCACACCAACTCCCAGTCCCATCACTATCACAAAGCCAAAATATCCAGTGAATGTCATTACAGTATTAGAAATTAGAAGCCTGTTTCTCAGCCCTTTTGAACTGTGGCTACTGCTACAACCAAGACAGTGAGCCTGGTCACTTCCTTTCCCACAGAATATGCCCCGCCGGAGGGTCAGTGTTGCTGTGGTTCCCAAGTTTAATGCCCTGAACCTGCCTGGCCAGACTCCCAGCTCATCACCCATCCCCTCCTTACCTGCCTTGGTGAGTATGGTGATGCCTGCCTCCCAGCACTGTTCGACCTCCCCTCACTCACTACTACGGGGTGATCAAATGGGAGCAGGGTCAACAAGGAGAGGCCATTCCCAGCACAGAAACTGACAATCTCAGAAAGCTCAATACAGACCAAGCCACATGGTATTCTGCTGCCCTGAGAAGTCTCAGTGCCCTCCGGCACGGTGTTGGCAGCTCAGAGAGTATTCCTTTAAAACGATCATTTTTCAGGCTTAAGCCACAATTCTCCAACATTGTTATAATTGTTTTTCCATTCTGCGGCAAGTTTAAGTAGCTGAAGTTTGTAAAGCGGTTAGAACTAAGCTTTGAACCCCCTGAATAATCCATTAATATCCTGCCTTGGTTCACTGTGGCATTGTTTATAACAATGAAAAACTGGAACCAACCCCCTGGCCACTATCATGAGATTGGTTAAACAAATTATGGATGTCACTGGAAGGGGTTTCTACAGAACAGAATTATTATCCATAATTTATTATGAATAAAAAATGCTTTAAATGGCAAAACTAATATATAAACAGTATAATTCTGTTCCGTAAAAGTGTTTCTGTGGCGAGGCATAGAAAATTCTGGAAGAAAATATGTGAAACTATTTATAATGGTTATCTCTGATTAACGGTAAAGAAAATAATGGTTATTTTCTTCCTGATGCTTTCTTTGTATTTCTATAGTAAGAACGTATTAGTAATAACCAGAGGAAAAAATACATTGCAGTTTTTTTTTTTTATTAAACAAAGACAGTTCCTATACAACAAAATCTTTTCTACCTTCCAAGCCTTTGTGTATCTGGGTAATTCTATCTAAAACTTTTCCAATTCTGTCTCCAACGGGTTTCTCTATTCCCCGTGTATGACCAGCACTACTCTGTAAGGAAACAATTTGATTGCATAAGCAATTGGTCAGGTAGATTCAAGCTCTATATGTTGTGTTAATAGATAGTACTCACCTCTTCCTGCTTCAAGCATTTCAATCATCTATAAAATCAACCTAAAATTTCAAATTACCCACTAAGACAAAGCAACCTAGGGGAAAAAAAATTGTTTTAAGGAGGTTGGAGAGGGCTGGTTAGAGTGTTTTAAGAGACTTATTTCCCATACTTCATCTAAATGCATAAACGTTTATAAATATGCATTCCTTTAGAGTAGGGGCCACACATTAAAATCATGCAGGGTACCTTTCAACATTCTATGCAGTAGAACTTCTTAAAAACCTCCCTTAGACAACAGTAAGGTGCAGCCAGAATTGAGAACCACTGCTTAAACCAAAACTATTGCCACGAAACAATGTGGAAACCCTGGAGAATTTGTTCTAAAGAAATTTCTGATGGCTTGAACTTTCAGTAATGACAGGAATCTTCTGAGAGTTATTCTTGGAGCTGCAGCTCTTGGGATGAGGATGGGCTTCTATGAATCTATCCCAGAAGACTCAGTACCATGTATGGTAGGAGGCCCGCTGGTGTCAGTTGCAGTCGGTAAAGGGGACAGAGAGAAACTGATGGCTCCCCTCCAGAATGGAGCCTCAAAATGTAAACTCTTCTCTTGGCTCAAGGAGACTTAGAAGAAGAGAAGGAAAAGTTGCCCACCCGCCCAGAGGGAAAGAACATTGAGGAAAGGAGGGCAGGAAGGGCCCTCGGGAAAAGGCCAGGCCTTTTGGAAGATTGGAAGACCGGGGATGGGGAGGAGGGAAAGAGGAGGAACAGCAGCCCCTCCTCAAATCATCCAAGACCAGGGGCTCTGGCTTCTTCCTCCTGTAACTCATCCACAGTTCTCCGTCTTGTTTTCCATTCAGTCGGAAGCACCCAATGGGAAAGGCAGCCTACCTGTTACTTCAGCACTGCCTGCACTTTTGGAAAAGTAAGTTTGTCAGTTTTCCTTTTACCTTTGGTGATCTCTAAGGAAAATGTCCCCCATTCACCTTTCTTACTCCCGTCTTCATCCCCCAAATGCGACAGAAAGTAAATTAAGTCCTGAGTGGGACTCTGAGACCCACTAATACGTCAGGTTCAGTTTGCAAAATTCTCGGAGCAGGAAGATACTATGGCTGAGGCCACATGTACCCAATCTAGAGGAGTCCAGAGGAAACAGAGGTTTCTCTGTTGGTTGGGCTATACATAAGAAAGCCCCAACTGAAGGGAACTTAAATAGTAGGTCTAGAGGTCAGGCTGCTGTGAGGGTGGCACAGGAGGTCTCCAGCTCACCCTCTCTACGACCTCTCTGCCTCTGGCCACTTCATATGTTGACTTCATCATCAGGCTTGTAGCAAATGGCTGCTAGCGCCAGGCGTCCTCTCAAGACAAGAAAAGGTCTAGAGGGAGAAAGGGACTATTTCTTCCCATATTTCTTTCTCAGGAATCAACCCAGAGGCCTTTCACCAATTTTCCCTCTTATCTCATCGTGAAATCTGAAACATAATTCCCTTTCTAACAGGCTTTGGGAATGAGATTATCATTATGGGCTTAAACTATCCCTAAAGTTGAGGAGAGGGTCAGCTTATGCAGAAATTTCCTGAACAAAATCATGTTGCTGTTAGGAACTAGGAAGGAAGGTGAGTATTGGCAGCAAACAGCATCTGCTCTGCCCAACTTTTCTAGGCATCTGTGCAATTTGCAGATCTTTTCATCCTGAGCAAGGCAGGCTATTTCTGTGCACTCGAGGAGTTTATAACTTACTTTTCAAATTCTTTCATTTGCTTGCTGCAAGACATCTGGATCGCAGCTGCCACCTCTCAGAACTTTCCATTTGTGTCTGTCCTCACTTGGTAGAACATATACCTTCTTCCTCCTCCTTTGCCTTGAGATGGCGTTAGTCCTTCATTTTTCACTGTTAGAAAAGTTTTGCTGGACCTGGCAGGGAACGTGTATGTTGGGCCCTTTGTAAGTACATCCAAGATCTCAAGCTCCCCACCTCCACACTCAGCCTGTTTTCCTCACCTCTCATTATACAACCACTAATTCATCACTTAGTGATCTGTCCATGTTAGTCTTATTTGCCCAGCATTTTCTCCCTTTGCCACCTCACCCCCCTAAGCTTACAGATCCTCCATATTAAAGAGGGTGGGACACTTGCCTGACTTGCTCCCTTCCTCCCCACCTTCTTTCCTTCCCTCCCTTCTCTCCCTGCCCCATAACTACAGTTAAGCGATGAAGCAGTGACTAATTAGCAACCATGTGGGAGCAACCAAGGTTGCAGAATCTTACCAGGTCCTTAGAGTTATAGTCCCTAGCCCATGATCTTTGAATTTCTCCAGAAATGGTCACTTGATGCTCTGAGAAACTCACTAAAATTCTCCCTATGAACCCTCCCTTTGGGTGCACCAATCTCCACTTCAGAGGACCCCATTCCCTGTAGAGCCAGTCACAGCAGAGGATCTATGTTCCTGCTCTACCCTACAAACTGTAATCATGACAGATCAGGGTCTAAGCTCTGTAGCACTAGTGCCAAGCCAGCTGGGAGCTTCTGTCTGAGACAGTGGGGTTATCAAGGACATGAGCTAGCCTTGGTGGAAGAAACTGAGGCACAAAATTGGAGATAGCAGGCATCAGCCCCAAATCTGGAATGTCAACAAGTGAGGATCAATGGTGGCATCATCTTTCTATGGTTTTAGAACCTAGTGATAGAGGGAAAGAGTGAGGATCAAGGCAAGTCAAGAGGTTCCCAGGATGGTGTCAGCAGCTCCCTTGCAGGGCTGACCAGAAAGCCTGCCATTGCCATGCTGTGATTGACGTGCTGTTGGGAAAACACCATATGAGAATGGTGGCAAAAAGGGGAGGGAGTAATTGGAGGAGGAAGGATTCAGATCAAACCACAGCCTCTCCCTCTGATTTCTAAAAAATGCTAAGCTAAGTAATTTCTGTCTGAAGTCACAAAATTGGAGACATTGTGTGGATTCCCCAAATACTAACAATGAGACAATTTAGGAGTGAAGATGAATTCACATCTTCTGTTCCATGCACAGTCAATTCGAGCTGCCCTATCCATATTACTAAAGAAAAATAATGCATTATACTTCAAAAAAATTTTTTTTGTAGAGATGATGTCTGGCTATTGCTCACACTGGTCTCAAACTCCTAACCTCAAGCACTCCTCCCACTTTAGCCTCCTAAAATGCTAGGATTACAGGCATGAGTCATAGAGCCTGGTCATAATGTGTTATATTTAATATACAGTGCTTTCTAGATTGTTCTATTCAGTTTCTATTTCTATTAGTTAGAATGATTTCACATTTCTTAAACACACAGTGACTAAGCAGAACAACACTGGCTAAGCACAGGGTGAGAAGATCAAATAGCCTTTGGGTAGTTCACAACCAAATACCTAAGAGTTGACTGTACTACCCAGTGTGACTTGAGAGAATTCCGAGCCTGGCTCTTGCAGGTAATTTGATAACGAACTAATTTTCACTCAACAAAGGTCTAGGAACCTATAGATTTAAAGAAACATATCAATGGAGAGTGATACTTAGTCTGAAAGATAAAATGGGACACAAAGCTCAAGTGCAGTTCCACAAATAGGAAGCACTATATAATTGCAGTCTTTTATTCTTTTATTCCTTTGACAATTAGTCACCAAGGGCCAAGCACATGGAATGAGCTCAAGGAAGTCATTACTGGGAAAGACAGATAGGAAACAGCCTATCATAATATAACATGATGGGTGATATTTTTTTGAGACAGAGTCTCACTCTGTCACACTAGGTTGAGTGCCATGACACCATAGCTCACAGCTACCTCAAACTCCTGGGCTCAAGCAATCCTCTGGCTTTAGCCTTCTGAGTAGCTGGGACTACAGGCAACTGCCACAATGCTCAGCTAGTTTTTCTAAGTAGAGACAGGATCTCTTGCTCAGGCTGGTCTCAAACTCCTAAGCTCAAGGAATCTTCCTGCCTTGGCCTCCCAAAGAGCTAAGATTACAGGCCTGAGCCACCATGCCCAACCTTTTTTTTTTTTTTTTAGCTAATCAGGCCCAGGTGAGGTTCGAACTTGCTGCCCCTGGTATAGTGGGGGTTGGGGGGAGAGCGCACTAACTGATGTCCAGCTTACGGACATACAAGTTGCTAAGGAAACAACACACAAGAAAATGAGAACCTAATCCAGTTTTGGTATAAGGTTATAGGGTAGGGGGAAGAGAAGGCTAAAAAATTGTTTCTGTTAGGAATCTAGTTTTAAATGAACCCTAAAGGTTATGTAATTAGCAGGCAAACAGGAGGTTGGCAACATTCTAGGCTCTTAGGCAACAAAGCAGGGAGTATGCAAGGAATGGGGTGGTGATGGCAATGATGAGCTTGGTAATTATTATTTACTGCACACTCACTTTATGCCAACTGCTTTACTAATCGCATTAAGAATCTCATGTAATCCTCACAATAATCCCATGAGATGGGTCTAGTACTAATATTCCAGTTTTATAGATAAGGAAACAAAAACTCAGAGAAATTGTCACTTGCCTGAGGTCACACAACTAGTAGAACAGCAGGGCTTATGCTCTTAATCTTTAAATAGACCCTTCAACTGGAAAAACAGAAAGAAGCTCCATGTGGCTGTGAAGAGGAGGATGGATTTAAGAGCTATTTTCTAAGGAGGCTGGTGGAGTGATGGGGGAGACAGGGTGTGGGTAGAACCATTCATTGAGGGAGTCACAGCAGAGCCAGGATGTGGATGGTGCACAGGGTTAGTTTTATTAAAGGGGCCACTATACAAGTGTATCCCAGAGAAATTTTAACTACAATTTCTAAAATAACCATTTTTCTGCACTTTTGAAGCAGCCAGGAAAAATTGCTTAAATATTTTGTATATTACATTTATACAGTAAGCAAATCCCCTTTGGTGGCAGTATTCTGGAATGAATTATCCTCCAGTAAACTTCTAGCAGACCCCAAATATTTGCACAACTGGGAGTAAGGAAGGTTTTCTAGCTTGAGTTCCCTGGGCTGGGCTTGTCAGCGCATTGGCAGTGGGGGTGACTTAGAAACATCACTGAGCCCAAGAAGGTAAGATATGGCCCCTAGAAAGGATGATGATCACTTTCAAATTTATCTGGCATGTGGGAAAAATTGAATCTAATACACCTTGACCCAGCCGCCCTGCATATTCCCGAAAGCTGAGCACAATGACAAATACTTTTCATCTGATGGATGTGTGACACTAATGAGGCTCTTGGTGAATTATCCCAGAAAGAAAGCACGTAGGGTTTCAGGCTAGGGACAGATGCCAAGATGTGTGCTTGCTTGGCCTAGAAATCCCTGGGGTGGCACAGGCTGTGCTCAGCTCCTGTGTACGGCCATGAATAGAGATTCCTTTAGCCCAACCCAAACACTGGGTTCTCAGGAAGAGCCATTTACAGGGAGGACCTGCCCAGTTTACAAGATTCACAGACAGGGACTAGGCGGGCCATAGTGAAATCGATGCAACTCACCAAATAATTAACGCATCTACTGTGTGCCAGGCACCCCTGTGACCCACACACAGTCTCTCCCCCATGGTAACAGTCATATGTGGAGGGATGGGCAGGTATCTGAAACATACCAACGCCCTCTCCACAACCCACACAGTAGTGGAGGTGCAGTGGGAGAAGAGAGGAGAGAGATCAATTTCAACTGGAGTGCATAGGAGGAGGGAGAAGATCAGCGGACACTTCACAGAGGAGAAGATATTTGAACTGAGTCTTAAAGATGCACGAGGAGAGGCTTCCAGGAAGCTGGAGAAGATATTTAGGGGGGACTATAAGCTCAGTCTGGGGGTCAGAAGAGAACAACATTTTACTATGGTGTATTTCCCACTTCCCAGCCTCCCTTGGGCATATTAAACAAAAGCCCTTCCAGCCTTCTCACCCTCTAAACAAGCAGCCTTGAAAAGAAGGGAAGATTTGTAAGCCATGGTCCAGCCTGAGGGAGGGAATGGCTTCACTTGGCAGGTGCTTTGGAACCCCCCACACCACTCAGAGCTCCAGAAAAGACTTCTATTGAAAGATAACATTCAGAGAGACCTGGAAAGTGCATCTTGCCATGAAATTAAAAGACCGAGATGAGAGCCCCAGCACCAATAATGTGAGTTTAGACAAGTCATTTAATCCACCTGAGCTTGGGTTTCTTATCTGCTAAGTGGGATCATACCCCAGATGGGTGGCGGGGAGTGTACTCAAAGGTATGGGTGGGTGTCAGACTGCAGAGGGTCAAATTTGAGCTCACCGCACCCTGGTTATATTTAACCTTTCTGGGCCTTGGTTTCCTCACAAGTCAAAAACTGAGAACAATAATACCTTAAGTCTTACGCTCTGGTAGCTCTTCTAACCATTGGGAAGATCAAGTGAGATGTAAGTGAAGGCCTCGGAGAGGAGCTGAAATGGACAGAAGAGCCATGTGTAGAAGATTCTGGGAGATGAAATTCCTGGCTCTCCTAGGGAAAAGTTTCAGTCTCTAGACAGCAGTGACCCCAGGAGAGTGAAAGTTTCATTAATGGTCACTTGCTCAGCAAAACTCTGAGGTGCACGAGTACAGCACACGATAGATACACCTGAGAAATTTACTAAACCCATTTTATAAAGACTTAATGTAAGTTTACTGTACTTTCAATCAGTTCACATCTGAAGTTCCTCTGACCCTGAAGTGTCATGCAAACATAGAAAACAAGTTTTTCCTTAAGGATTTAAAAAATAGCCTGATTTATCAGCTTGGCTATTTTATAAATCAGGGTTGGAGGAAGCTGAGATTGCTCTCGAAATCTACTAGCATTTATCAGCTTGGATATTTTATAAATCAGGTTTGGAGGAAGCTGAGATTGCTCTCGAAATTTACTAGCATTTATCAGCTTGGATATTTTATAAATCAGGTTTGGAGGAAGCTGAGATTGCTCTCGAAATTTACTAGTCAATTTATTACAGAGCAGTAACAATAACAGATATAATTTGTTAAGTACTCTGTTCCAGAAAGTTGCCTGACGTTTAATCCAACCCCACCACCGCCAGGTTTAAATCATTATACTATCTCCACCTTACAGCCAGGGGATCTGAAATTCAGGAAGGTTAAGTGGTTTGTATCTGTTGGAGTTGGCATTTAAATCCGAGTTTGCCTCGGGTGGGTTCTCTTCCTCGGCACTACACTGTCCTTGTATATGTTTAACATATTAAGGCATCTCTAAGGTTGACAGCTGTGGGTAAATTAAAAATCTGATACCAATGTTTTATTTCTAGTATAGAAAAAAAAACTCACTTTCCCTGTCCTTGGCCGTAGCTGTGTTTTCTCCTCTAGCTTCGATAATTTGGATAAATAGGAAACTGCATATCAGGCCAGTGCATATTCTGAAGTCACATGGAAGGGAGCAGGTAATGTCATCTGCAAGAGGAGAAATGTTATGAGTAGCTGGTATTTTTAGAGTGTTATCTTTCTTGTTCACAATGAGTTTTGGTTTCCAGCCTGATGAAATGTAAATTTTTCAAGGTCTGAGGGAAATTAAGAGATGGGACACTGATGCCAAGAATGAGGAGAAGATACCAGGCTCGCTCATAAACCCGTCTGAGAGGTCGGGGAGCTGGTAGCTGTGATGTCTCAGAGTCCTGTCTGGAAAGCTCTGCTCACAGTTTTGCTTTGTTTGGGGGTTCCTCCATGACAACATGACTCCTATTGGGATTCTGGATGCCTAGGTGGGCTGCAGGCTTCCTGGGGAAGGCACAGCCATCGGGACACTTCCTTTACACTGGTGATCCACCCTCAGCTGAGCTCCTGGCACTGCCCAGCCATCCTACCATGATTTTCTAGTATGTTTGTTTTCCTGCCTTCCTCCACGACTTCCCTCACACCTTCCTCAGCCCCTCGACATTTCACTCTCAGCAGATGACCTCGCCTTCCACTTTGCAGAGAAATTTAAGCTATTGTTCAGACAGGACCCCTCTCCTCTTCCTTGACCAGACACCCAACCTGCTGTTTTCATCCTCCTCTTCCCTTGGTTAATGCAAGGAGGGGTTTCTCCACCTTTCAAGGCCTGTCCCTGCTCCTCTTTTCAGAGACTGCTCCTTTGGTCACGCCTTCCTCTCCTCCCCTCTGCCGGATAGATTCTATCCACCTCCAGGTGTGTTTCCTCTCTCAGCCCTCTTCCTCACCGTGCCCTCCTCCTGGGGCTCCTCTACACCTCTTCCTAGTCTGGGGTCTGTGTCCTTCTTTATCAGCACAGTTCCCACCAGGCTTTGGATCCCCCTTCATCAAGGATCCCCCTGACCTCCATATTATCCAATCTAGGAGTTGGTTTATACCCCTCTGTCTTAGGCTCTCAGAAGTGTGTGACACAGTTACGCTCTCCCTGACACACTCTCCTCTCCTGGTTTCCCTCCACCCTCTCTGGCTGCTACTTCTCAGCTGCCTCTGTAGGCCCCTTCCTTTCCACCTGAGCCAGGTGTGGAGACACTTGATGTCCCAGGTCATCTTCTTGTCTTTCCTCATTTATCTCATTAGGCAGTCTCACCCATTGCCCTGGATTTTTATAGCATCTATATTCTGATGACAGCAAATTAGTATCTCCAGTCTGGAGCCCTTCTCTGACTCACTTTGGCGTATCCAACTCTCTGCTCAATATCTCCACTTGGATAGCTCACAGCCATCAGAAGTCTGTCCTTCTCCTTAGTTAAGTCCTGCCACTGCCTCTTGCAGTTCCTCAACTATCCCAGCACCTTCCATGTCTCAGAGTCTCTACACAACCTCTGTTCTCTGCCTGGGATGTTCTTCCCTTGGCTGTTGAGATGTTGACTCCTCTTCTTTCGGGTCTGAGCTTCAATTTCAACACCTCAGAGACTTTTTCTGACCATTCACTCTAAACACACTCTCTCCTTTTAATTTTCTGTTACTGATTGGAATGTCTGTCTTTCATAAAAGTTATAATTGAAAGTTAATTATGCATTTTTCTTTCCTTTTTGAGGGCTTTCTCTTCTCCTGAAGTTTATGTTGGCAAAAACCACATCTTTATTTTTTAACACGCCCCTAGCACATTGCAGTGTGCCGTGACTTAGTTGTACTCAGTAGAGATTTGAAAGAGTGAACTCATCAGACTGAGATGGACTCCAGGACCAGAATGACCCTGTGTGTGCCCACTCACAGCACCTCCTGGAATGAGGAGAAAGGTGGATTTGGGAGCGTGAGAAGGGAAGCCGGCACAGCGTTTGGAAGTCTAGGAAGGATTCATGGACTAGTGGCTCAGGGTAGAAGCATTTTTTAAAAAAATCTGAAAGTGACTGAAAGAATCTGAGTTTCCTTACTTCTAATCAGGAATCAGGCCAAGAACATGGTTTTTGTTTCAGACACTCAACCTTTTCCTGAAATGATGCCCTGTACTTCCTCTTCCCTCTAGCGGAAAGGCCAGTGGAGACCCAGATGGTGAAGCCCTAGCTCCCGGGCCAACCCTGAGCTGCCTAGAAGAGGTCAGTCAGGAGACCAAGGCCAGAATGGAGGAAGAAGCCTTCAACAAGGGGTGAGTTGGACCTCGGCCACTCCGAGGGCACCTGACAGGTCACAGAAGACACCTTCCCGTGGGCCTTTCCTGCCTCTGAGAGGTTTCAGGGAAGCAGCCAGCGGCCTCAGGACCTCCTTGCTTCAAGGAGGAACTGCAGAGGAAAGAGCAAGACTGTTCCACAGGAAGGACAGAGGCAGCCGGGTCAGAGGGTGTGGTTAGACAATAACTAAACCGCCTTCTTTTTAGGCAGAAAGCCATCAGAAAAGGTCTGGAAATGAGGGTCTCCTCGGTGGCTTCCTCTTGGTGGAGCCTAAGGCTTCCTGACATGTGCTCAGCGTGGTCAAGCTGCTGCCAGCACTGCCTAGAAGCAGCTGCGACTCTGCTTCCCCAAACTGCTCTCGTCACCCTTCCTACTATACACTGAGTCCCTCTCACTTGCCAACTGTCTCCTTCTCTATCTGAGCTTCAGTAGCACCGACGGCCACTTGTCAACCATTGGCAAGACAGAATCCTGAGCAGGGCCCAAGCCTCCAGGCAGAGAGTCACCTCTGATGGGGCACTGTACTCTGAGTTTCTCCTGTCCCCAGCACTCATGAAGGAGATGCAGCTTCTTAGGTGGCAGTCACACATAGCAATGGCTTTGCCCCACCCAAACTGCTGGTCTTACACACTCAGCTGCAGGACAAGTGAGTCAGAGTGTGTTCAGGGTAATAATGATCCTGGGAGAAGGACACGGAGAGGCTCCTCTTGGAAGGCCTGTCTCTTCACCTACAACCGCAAGGCCGGGGGCTCCTCCACTGGCTCCGCAAGCATTTACTGAGCCTCTCTCTAGCTCAAGCTGTGTGCCTGGCATTTCCAAAAGCTGTTTCAGTGCCCTGTGAGATGGGTATCATCTCACAGATGTTTCATAAATGACAAGCTGAAGCTCCAAGGTTACATGGAGAGCACAAGCGATCTTATCCCTACAGAATGTTTTATGGGATAAGAACCCAGTCAGGACACCCTGCACCCACACTTTTTCCCTGTCAGGTTTGTCACTCTGTCACATAAACAGGAAGGATGACTGAGGAGTGAGGGGAAATTGTACTGACACGAGGTGCCTTGGGATTCAGTGGCACTTCCCAGCTTTTTCCTGTTGTGTGGACACAGGAAGTGTGCAGTTATCAGAAGTGCTGGATCCTCTCCCCTAGGAACTCAGGAAAGGATCCTCTGCCTCTGGCCTTTTCACAACCAATTGTTCCTTTCTGCCTTCTAGATACCAGGAAGGTCTAAAGAAAACCAAAGAGCTTCAAGACCTGAAGGAGGAGGAGGAGGAACAGAAGAGTGAGAGTCCCGAGGAACCTGAAGAGGTCGAAGAAACTGGGGAAGAAGAAAAGGACCAGAGAAGCAGGTGGGAGGCTTGTGTTTGGAGCCCTTGCTGAAATGAGTTAGGATTCACTTAATTATCCAATTATCCAACAGTACTTCCAGGGCAACAGTGGGTGTGGGGCCCAAGTGAGTAGCCAACAGAAACCCAGGGGTCACTCAGGTTGGGGAGGAGGTAGAGGAAATCCCAACAAGTTAGAATAGTTAACAGTGGGACATTTGCAAGAGCTGAGGGGTTAGAAGTGGTCATGGAATCAAGAGCTATCAGGGGCTGAGATAGGGTGAAGGACCCTGAGTGGAATCCCTTCCAGCCCAGCCATCCCCATGGAAGGGCCAAGTTCAAAGGAGCTGGCCTGAAGCCCTCAGGCAGTTCCTTACAAGAACAGGGGAAGAGAGAAATGCATGGTAGGGGTGAGGAACTCAGCTCAGTGGTAAAGATGAGTCTCCAAAATGTCCATGCTGGCCAATCAAACTTGGTCATCCAGACAGTGTCTTCATTTTAGATTGAAATACGAAATACTTTGGTCTTTCTTTTAAAATACTTAAAATTTCAAGCAGATTTCCCCCTAAAATACGAAATACTTTGGTCTTTCTTTCAAAATACTTAAAATTTCAAGTGGATTTTCCCCTAAAATACGAAATATTTTGGTCTTTCTTTTAAAATACTTAAAATTTCAAGTGGATTTTCCCCTAAAATACAAAATACTTTGGTCTTTCTTTTAAAATACTTAAAATTTCAAGTGGATTTCCCCCTAAAATGGCAGAGGGGAAGTTATAACATGTAGATAAAGAGACTACAGATCCTGTATCCTGTCCCATTGTGGTGCCTACCCGGCCTTTAGGATGCAGAGTAATAGAAATAACCTCATCTAGTTCCAGGGCTCCACATGTTGAAGTATTATGGGGATGAGGACTCAACCCCACAGGCTTGAATTAAACCACAGAAATAAAAGCTAAGGGACAGAATAAACTAGTGCCCATAGAAGGATACGTCTGCCCTATAGATGTAATGGCCACATCGATTTCATGGATTCAGCCCTGTTGTCTCTATCAGTACATTGAAATCACAGGTCTTGAATTTTGATTTTTTAAAATGTAGTTATAGCAACTTTGCAACACTTCACCAAAACCTTTGTTTTTAGACCCCTGGACTAGCCAAAGGTCCAGGGTAGCTCCAGACAAAGTGATTCATTATCTAATCAGCTGTTGAACTTGGGACAGGGTATGTATCTGTGCCTTATTGCTGGCAAACTCTGGAAACCACATGCATGCAATGAATAAGGTAACGAAGTGGAGATTAGGAGCAAGATGGATGCGCTTCGACATTTGTAGGAGCTACCAGGAAAGCCCAGTTGGTAGAAGATTCAACTGAAGTGAGACATCTTAGCCTTCCTGGGTCAACGCTACTATCAGGAGCTATCAGGAGAGCTGAGGAAACTGCTTTCCCATCCAGAACAAATCTATGCTAATAATATACACCACCTCCCCAGTAAAAGAATCTCTCAGTTTAACAATGAAAACTCTCTGCTCCAGATACTTGGACCCTATTCTTCTCCCTCTTGGGGTTCCTCTGCTTTTATTTTTCAGGCCACCACATTGCTTTCCTCCCTTTTAATGCAGTCAAGCCCAAGCCTGGACAAAAGCTCTTCCTTTGGCATCTCTGAATACAGCAAAAAAAAGGCTGGAACTTCTAACACTTCTAAACACTGAGAAAGAACAAAGGAGAAATAAACAGAGAGAGTACATGGAATATAAACAGTTTGGTTTACAAAGCACAAATCCTTATCTAACTAATTTGATCACAGACAATTGGCATTTCCCTCCCATTTCATGAAATCCCAGGGGAAATAAGGCTTTGCTTGGGTCCGTTTCTGTCCAGCTCCTAGTTAGCAGCTCATAGGAATGGCTGCCTTATAGCATCTGTCACCCAAGAGAGAGTCCATTGTCTGTCTCCCAACCTTTGCTTCCTCTTGGATTTACTTTTTTGGTGTTGATAACATGCCTGTACCTCAGCTGATGGATACCAGACCTGAGCACAGCTCTTGGAATGACCTTCATCCGTCAGCACAAGGGTGCAGCTTCACTTTTTCAGGCCTAGTGGCTTCATCATCATCTTCAAGACCGATGTTACTATTATATAAACTGCCCACTCACAGCCCTAAGTGTTCTTCCTCACCTCTGATCCAAGCCAAACTGGTCCCAAGAGCTGTTGTCATCGTTGCCAGGAAATCCTCACCAATTCCTGGATCCTTTAGACACACAGTAGCTTCAGGCACCTATATCCAAACATGATTCCCCCATAAAATGTTGGCACCTCACTAATAAGGTCTGAAGTTATTGGAAGTGCCATTTCTTACTGAGGACACAACACTTAGTTAAAAAACACTGGACTGAGCTCAGCCGCTGACCACTTATTCAAGAGATTTAACATCAAACAAAAAATCTTTTTGTCTGAACGTTTTCTCTATTACATATAATAATTAATGTTATAAATATTGCTCTCCAAAGGGTTGGCTTAAATAAACTTTAGGTAACTCAACCCAATATCTTAACCATATGAAACAGAGAACACAGTCTTCTGACATCAATATAATACATTGACCAACTAGTGCTCATAGGTATAACGGAGAACTTTTGTCTTTTCTTCCATTGCCTATTCAAAACTGCTCTGTAGGGTTAAGATTATATTTAGACAGGTCCTTTACTTTTCCAATAAAACAGAAAACAGATGTTTACTTGTAATGACCAAAATTGACATCCAAATGAGTTCTATTTCTAACCTCTTTCATAGACCAGCCAGGGTGATCAGCTAGGGTCACAAATATAGGTCTTGACCTCCTACCTTAGAGCTCCACTTAAGAGAGGGATTCTCCCCACAATGGCAACTTGTTTTGGAGCATGGAAATAGAACCCAAAAGAAAGACTCCATTTTAGTGTCTAATTATATCTAATTGGAATCCAAAGAATCTAAATAGGGTTGAAAGAAGATATTTGTCCATCTTCAAGATTTCCCTTCTCAACAGTTATGGAAATAGCCAGTGATTTGCTTTAACTGTTCTTGAAATGACCTGATGGGGTTCCCACATGGAAAAGAAATGGTGATGGCTTCTGTGGCCTTATCATCCAAGGCAAGTACTCTGAGCATACAATCCCTTTCTAAGGAAGGTATTTGTTGAGTTTTTCAATCCATTGTAAGCCATCCATTTTTTGCTGGCTCTGAGAGCTCTCTGCTTCTCAGCAAATAGCCTGTGCATCTCACAATGTCTGTGCAAGCCCTATTGTCAATTCCCCCACCTCCTTAGTTTGGTAATGCTCAGTATCTCATTTTTCTTTTTCTTTTTCTAAATAGATTGAAATAGGAAATTCTTCAATAGGAGGAAAGCTTAGTGAAGGTGTCCAGGGCTTCGCCAGAGTCCTCAACACAGGTCATTTCACTGTGCCACAAAGAGAGAGAGGACAAGTTGAAAGGCAGTTGGGAAAGAAGCAAGAGGGAAAGGGGGCAAAATGGAGAGGGAAAGAGGTGAAAAGGAAAGACAGATGAAAGGGAGGAAGGGAAGGGAGGGAATGAAAGAGGGAAAGGGTGAGCAGGAGGGAGAAATTAGAGAACAAATACCAATGAGGCTGAGAAAGTATCTTGAATTTGCCACCCAGAGGTCGCTGGTGCCTACCAGTCTTCTGGTTGCTTTTAAGGTGGTTTGAAGTGAGCTCTTGAGGTTGATCTGATCCTTTGGTATTAATCACTGGATTTCTGAGAGTTTAGCACAGTTCCTTCTTCTCTGGACACAGATGTGGGACTGAGAACCATGAACTATGCATCTGAGCACTGAGGCAAGGGCAGGTCAGTACTTGGAAAGATCACTAATGCAGCTAAGTGCTGAAAAGATGCAATGGTTACCTGCTAGTTTAGATACATGGGAGCATAGATCAGCCCATCTTCTACCCTGGGGCTTGGGAAAATACGAATATTGGTAACCACACCATGAATAGAGTAGGGCACATGTGAATGAATAAATGATCAAACTAGTAAACAGAGTGATCTAGACCAAGTAGCTCCCAACATCAAGGCTATTGACTGGTGGCATCAAGATCATCTGGGAAAACTTAACTATTAATTCCTAGACCATGACTTTGGAGATTTCTCATTTAGTAAGCTTGGTGTATTTTGAGTTATTGTTGCTAAGTATTTCTCTGCACAGCATAGACTGTATCCCCAGAGAGAGAACTATGGATCTGGGTATCATATGTCTGCCCAATATACTAAACCCTCCACCTATTTTTTGTTTTCATTGACAGCAAACTTGAAGAATTGCTTCATTTCTTACAAGTCATGTATCCCAAACTGTGTCAGCACTGGCGAGTGATTTGGGTGATGGCTGCAGTGATGCTGGTCTTGACTGTTGTGCTGGGGCTCTACAATTCCTATAACTCTTGTGTGGAGCAGGCTGATGGGCCCCTTGGACGATCCACTTGCTCAGCAGCCCAGAGAGACTCCTGGTGGAGCTCAGGACTCCAGCATGAGCAGCCTGCCGAGCAGTAGGAAGCCCTGATACCTGGTCAATGTTCTGGTGTACTCAGCCTACTGCCCCTTCCCCAAGCATAATGTCAGGCCCAGGTGTGGACATGCTGGTGCCCATCCCATCAGGAATGAGGGATTCTTTCACCCTCAACATTTCTGAGGGAGTTATTCATACACAGTGACTTGATGTTCTTGGAAGATCAAGAAAATTGCCTGGGAGAGCATCCAGTGGACAAAGAAATCACCTTCACCAAGGAACTCTAACTGAAGGGAAGTTGTTCTGCCCTAGAAAGAATGAAAACACCTTCACCAGGGGAGGAGGCATTAAGAGGCTCACTCTCTCCTTTTTTCTCTCTGCAATTGGTTATCAGGAAGAATTGTGCATAACAACTAATACTGATCCTGAGGATCAGACCTGGAATTTGGAGTGGCAACATGAATATCTTCCCATTTCCTATTTAATTTTCAAAGACAATCCTTCAACCTCCCTTTCTCCCTGGTGGAATCAGAGTTTCTCTTTGCAGAAGTAGGAAAAGATTTTCAGAAAAAAAAAAAATCTATAGCTGAATTTAGCTCAGTGCTTGAGATGAAGTGGGAAGATGTGAATGACTATCCATCTGTACACACACGACACACACAACACACATGCACAAAGCCAACGACCCTACGAAAGTGTGCAGTGGGTGTGTGCTCTGGATAAATAAGATGCATGTCAAGCCAACCCACGGACTTTCACTAGGTATGGGGAAGTCACCAGGCACCTATTCAATGAACTTGCCACATGGATTGAAGATGTTTGAAAAACACTGAAAACACATGGCTTCATTGACAAAATTACCGGTCTGTATTTCAAATATTGATTCTAAGCTCTTGTACGGTACAGTCTATTTCCTATTCTCTTTTTTAAAAGCAGTTAACCCCTCTCAAGTGAAGGAGGAGGAACGGTGTGTTTTCAGTGTTGTCTGTACTCTGTGTGCCCACAGGCAAGGGTGCAGTTGCACCCTAGTGCTTCCGTTCAAATGAGATTTCCAACCTAACTGCAAGCTGTGGAGCACTCCAAATTGTCATAAAATTGAAGGAGCACTTCCCGTCTTCAGTTTGACTTTTCTCCCCACCTTTACAGCTTCTGCCTTCATTCAGCCCTCATCAGTTTTGCCGGTGTTGGTTTCTGTGTAGGTTTTGTTATAGTTATTTTGCTTTTCCTTTTTTGTTATTGTTTACTTTTGTTGCTAATGCTCATATAGTTCTCAGTATTTTGTAGGTATCAATTCACTTAGTCCTCAAGAAAACAAAAATCTATGAGGTGGGTACTGCTCCTCCCATTTTCAGTTGAGGAAACGGTAGCATAAAAAGGTCAAGAAACTTGCTAAGGACATCCCACGAGTAAATCATGGAGCTAGAATTCAAACCTAGGTAGGCTGGCTCCAGGACTGTGCTCTTATTGCCTCTCCAATGGCCTCCTAACGGGATGCCTTACAGTCCCGTCTTACTCCCTCGCATGACCATTCAACTACTCCAAAACAACTCTGGTTCCCAAACTAAGTGATTTCTCTTGCAGCTCTGGACCGCCACTCACTAGAAATTCTCTAGTCATTCTTCTCTTTTCTTCTGGTTACTCTTCAGGTCCAAGTGCAAAAATTATCCCCTCCATGTAGGTTTTGATGACCTCCCTTCCACATTACCCACCATATACAACCTTCTTTGTGTTTTCCAGCATTTTCTAAATATTTTCATTACTGCTCTTTACCTACCTATATCAATAACCTATTTATGTCTCTATGTTTTATCATCTCTTGGGTAAGTGCCTAGCATGGTGGCTAATACTTGGGAAGGTGCCATTAAATGTCAATCAGAAAAAGCATTCAAGGTGGTAAAGAATAGCCTGGGACAGCTGATACTTTGCATGCTTCCCAGTACCAGCACCATCACCACCACCACCATCACCTCCATCACCACCATCTCAATGGGCAATGGGAAAAGTAGCATCTTTCTTAACCTCAGCCTATTCTAACATTTCTCAGTCTACTCTAAGAGAGCAGGAAGAGACGAGACTAGAAACACCATTTCCAAGCTCGTAGACTGGGCTCAATCCAATTACTCCCTTCAGAGAAGACTCCCCCAAGAAGCCCCCACTTTAAAGCACCATGTTTATTGAAGGAGAATCCTTTACAGTGGCTCAAAATGACTGTGAGAGGAGCCCAAGCCAGGGTTGGCCCAGGATGTGCCATTAGGGTAAAGAGGTACAGTGCAGGTCAGAGAGACTTTGGGGGGCATTAGCCCATGGTTTACCTGGCCTCTACAGGGGGTCCAGATACAACTGAAGGAGCTTTAGCTACATGAGGCCCTCAGAGACAAAGACAGGCTGTGAATGGAGTTCTAGAAAGAGTGGCTGTGGGGTAGGAGTCTAGGTGGGCAATTTCCAATCTCAGCCTCCCTTAGAGGAGGACCAGGCTGAGCTGGTCCGTTGTACACGTGGCCACAAGTTTCCCATCTTTTTTCCAGGTGAGTCAAAGGCCAGGAAAGCAGATACAGAGAGCTTCTGCACCTTCAGCTGCTCCATAAAAAGTCCTGCAAGGGCACAAGTCCTGACCTTTCAGCCCAGGTCCTCCTGCACTACTCCATTTGTAGGTAAAGGGTGGTCAAGGAAAGGACATTTCCAGAGGAGAGAAGAGTAGCCACATTTACAAGGGCATTGCTGAAAAAGTACTCATTGGTCTGATTTGGCAGGAAAGCAAAGATCAACCTTAAGTGGTTGGAGCTGCTGCTAAAGCAGTAGTGGAATGGAGAGAAATAGGTCTTGTACATCCAATGGTGACATTCATCTGAAATAAAAATTCCTCTCCAAATGCCTCTGAAGCCTGCCATTTCTGGTTGGCCCCTGTGAGTCTGGTTGCCTACCTTCAGTTGCAAAATGATGTGTTTGTGTCATTGATGTCACCTCCTAAAGGGACCTTCCTTTTCTGACTGCCACAAAGTGAATTGTGTTGCTCCTGTATGCAGCCTAACAGAGGACATGGAGAGGGAAATGTTGGATTCGTGTATCACTGGCTGGCTGTTCCCATTGTCATTAAGCCTCACACAGGTGTGCTAGCATTGAACTGTAGAATGTCACATACCTGAGTTTGAAAATAAAAGCACATTTCCAAACCTTTGGCAGCTTGTCTAGTGCCTCCTTATTTTGTGGAGCTCAGTCAAAATCTTACCCCCAACCCCAAATTAGATGACTTTGGATATATTAGTGTCTCCCAGAACTAACCCAGAGGTCCCCAACCCTTGGATATTGTACTGTGGGCTCCTTCACAGGGGTCAGATCAGCCCCTCCTTTTTTTTTCCTTTCTTATCCTTAATCCCTATCTCCTATATCTTCCTGGTTTATGATTTTTTTAAATTTTAAAATGTTAAGGGGTACAAAAGTTTTTGTTAGATGGATACACTCTATAATGCTGATGTCATAACTTACAGTGTTCCCACACCAGGAAAGCATTCATTGTACCAATAGGTAAATTTTTATCCCTCAGCCCCCTTCCATCCTCCCTACTTCTTAGTTTTTTGTGTGTTCTTTGTGAATTTTTGTGTCCATGTACACCTGTCATTTAACTCACACGAACTATATTTTCTCATTACTGAAATACTTCACTTAGGATAATGGTCTCCAGTTCCATCCAAGCTGCTGTGAATGACATTGTTTCATTCCTTTTGATGGCTGAGTAGTATGCCATATGCATATATAACACTTTTTTTTTTATCCACTCATGTATCAATGGGCATTTAGGTTGATTCCAAATCTTTGTAATTGTGAATTGTTCTGCCATAAATATTGGAGTGCATGTGTCTTTTTGATAAAATGATTTCTTCTCCTCTGGGTAGTTACCCAGTAGTGGAATGATTACTGGATTGAATAGTATGTCTGCTTTTAGCTCTTTGAGGAATCTCCCTACTGTTTTCCACTGAAGTTGTACTAATTTTCAGTCCCACCAGCAGTGGATAACCATCCCTTTTTCTGTACACCTGTGCAAGCATCTGTTGTGTTTTGACAACATTTTAATAGCCATTCTGACAAGGGTAAGGTGGTACCTCATTGTGGCTTTAATTTGCATTTCCCCGATGATTAGTGATATTGAATTTTTTTTTTTTTTTTTTGCAGTTTTTGGCCAGGGACAGGTTTGAACCCGCCACCTCCAGTATATGGGGCTGGTGTTCTACTTCTTTGAACCATAGGTGCCACCCATGATATTAAATATTTTTTTGTATGTCTGTTAGCCATTAAAAATTCTGTTCATGTCTTTTGCCCTATTAGACATTGTACTGGAAGTCTTAGCTAGAGCAAACAGGCAAGAGAAATGCATCAAAATTGGGAAAGAAGAGGTCAAGCTATCCTGTTTCCAAAGATATGATCTTATATCTAGAAAACCCCAAAGACTCCTAGAATTGATAAATTCAGTGAAGTCTCAGGTTACAAAATCAAGGTACACAAATCAGTAACATTTATACATACTAATAACAGCCAAGTTGAGAGTCAAATCAAGGACTCAATATAATTTACAATAGCTATGAAGAAAATAAAATAGGAATATATTTAACCTGGGAGGTGAAAGATCAGTATAAGGAAAGCCTGATGAATGAAATCATAGATGACACAAACAAAGGGAAAAACATCCTATGCTCATGAATTGGTAGATCACCATTGTTAAAATATCCATTCTGTCCAAAGCAATTTATAGATTCAATGCAATTCTCATCAAAATACCAACATCTTGTTTCATGGATCTAGAAAAACTAATCCTAAGCTTTATTTGGAAGCAAAATGAATCCAAGTAGCCAAAGAAGTCTTAAGCAAAAAGAATAAATCTAGAGGCATCACATTTCTTAAACTAAATCATACATTAATGCAGTCATGGGGTACAATGTGCTGATTTTATATACAATTTGAAATATTTTCATCAAACTGGTTAATATAGCCTTCATGGCATTTTCTTAGTTATTGTCTTAAGACATTTATATTCTACATTTAGGAAGTTTCA